CATGGAAAGTACAAAGGCGTTCTGGAGAAGGGCTGGGTCCGGATGCCCTGGTCACTCGCCTGGGCAGCCAGTGCCAACCTGGGCTTCCTGGACCAAGCGATGCTAATTCTAATATACTTCCAGGTTTCTGCTTATCCCTTTGGAAGACCTGTGGGCCTTTATCTTGAGGCCTGGTCTTCAGCTGCACCGCTAGCCACAGTTATGAGGTCTTAATTTTTTTGCTGACTTCCATAACTATATTTTAATTTCTAACTTAGCTGCTTATATGTTTTGACTGTTATTTGTATATTTATTAGTATTAAATCAGATCTGAGTTTTCCACATACATTCTGCCAATCTCTGGCTCCTTTTTCTTATAGTGTCATTTGTCTTTTTTTCTTTTTAATGTTTTGTCACCTGCCAGCATGGGTCCTAGCAGTTAGTGATAATGGAATACTAAAGTGACAGTAGGCATTTACAGGATAAAGTAAGATCAAGATGGGAAAAGGGTTGAGTAGCTGAAGGCAACATGCGCTAATGAAGAGTCACACTGCCCCATTAGTAAAGCACAGGACTGTTTTTACTGACACTATAGCAAGCTGGGATCCAGGTTTTGTAGCCCCAGAGGACTCCACAGTGGGGGCATTCCAGTTCCCATGACATGAGAGATCTTCATGACCAGTCTCAGTCTGCGAGGCTCTGCTGCAGTCCCATGTGATCATGGGTTGAAAGCAGTAGAGATTTTGGGCACAGGTGTTCTCAGCCTTGAAGAGTGATGGGATTGTGCTAAGTTTTGTGCCAATAAATAACCCTTGTTTTGCCAGCTTTTAGAAGGATTCTGTCCAGATGACTAATGTACTTGACAAGGTTATGACCCAGAGCTTTACAAAATTAAAGTCATGTTTTGTTCTCTTTTTAGTCAACCCACTGGACATTTGTAGGCCCAAGTGAAGAATCACAGTTTTTAGCAAAAGAACACTTTTAAATCCCTATCTTAAGGAAAATATAAACCATGCTTTTAATAAATCACAAGTTCAGGGCCCAGAAGATTGTTTGCCCTCTGTGCCTATGGTTGTCTCTGACATGTCATGGCTCTGACAATTTCACTGTGTTGATCAACTGGTCTTAAAGTCAGGGCCCAAGTATAATTTCTTTTGAAAAGGAGAAATGTTTAATTATGATTAATCTAATCATGATTATAGATCATGGTATTATTCTAACTAAGAAAGCTCATTGCAAATAGTTCCTCCTATGTTTTCTTCTAAAAGTCATGTAATTCTTCGTGTTCAAATTTTCAGCTTATAACCCATTTCCTCTTAATTTTAGGGGGATATTCAGTTGTTCCAGCATCTTTTGTTGAAAAGACTCTTTTCTTTACTCAGTTGCCTTTGGACTGTGCTGAAAATCAACTGGTTACATATGTGCTTTGGGTCTGTTTCCAGACTCCAGTCTGTGCTATTAATCTATATACCTACCCTTTCAACAGTAGCACAGTACTGGATCTTGATTACTGAAATATTTTGGTCATTTTGCCATTATGTATTTTCTTTTTTTTTTTTTTTTTTTTTTTTTTTTTTTTTTTTTTGGTACCAGGGGTTGAATTCATGACTTTGCATGTGCCAAGCAGGTACTTACACCACTGAGCTAAACCCCTGAGCCTGCCATTATGTATTGAGAGGCCTCCAGCTTCGTTTTTCTTTTTCAGAATTCTTTTGGGTCTTATAGCTACATGTTGATAAGCAATAACATTTTAAAAGGAATCATCGTTTCTAAGCAGTGTGTCTCAACAGCGCATTTAAAATATTTATAAATATATGTTCTGTTAAGCAGGTTAGTAGCGTCATAATCCCTGGCTTAAATTATAAAGCTATGGCAATTAAAACAGCATGGTACTGGCACAAAAAGAGACATGTGGTTGTGGTTCAGTGGAACGAAATAGAAGAAGCAGAAATAATCCCAGGCACATACAACTGTTTGTTCTTTGACAAAAGAGCGAAAACATACTATAAGGAAAATAGCCTCTTTAATAAATGGTACTGGGAAAATTGGATATCCACATGTGGAAAATTGAGTCTAAACCTATATATCTCACCATGTACTAAACTAAAATAAAAGTGAATCAAGGGGCTGGGGATTTAGCTCAGTGGCATAAGTGCCTGCCTTGTAAGTGCGTGGTCATGAGTTTGATCCCTGGTACCAGTAAAAAAAAAAAAGTGAATCAAACTCCTAAATGTTAAAATAATCTTCTGGAAGATAAAAGAGACAGAATCCTTTAGAACTAGGCAAGGACTTGCTGAATAGAACCCCAGTGACGCAAGAATTACTGAGAATCAAGAAATGGCATCAGGCCAGGGATTTAGCTCAGCAGTATAAGCGCCTGCCTGGCAAGTGTATGGTTGTGAGTTCAATCCCTGGTATGAAAGAAAAAAGGAAAAATAGAAATAAGATTATCAAATTAAAAGGTTACACAGCAAAGGAAACAACCAACAGAGTAAAGAGACAACCTGCAGAATGGGAAAAAAGTTTTGCCGGCTATTCCTTGGACAGGAGTTACATCTAGAATATATAAAGATCTCATAAAATAGGACTACCAGAGTAAAAGATGCATTCAAAAAATGGCCAAAGAAATGAGTAACAGTTGCTAAAAGAAGTAAAAATGGCCAATAAATACATGCAAAAAATGTTCAGCACCACTGATCATTAGGAAAATGCAAATTAAAACTACAATCCAGTGCCATTTTGCTCCAAAAAAAATCAACATGGTCAGAAAAACCTTCTAGTAACAAATGCTGGTGTGGGTATGGGAAGAAAGGACTCCTTCACACTGTTGGTAGGGATGTAAACAAGCACCACCACTGTGAAAATCAGTATACATATTCCTCACTACCAAGTAGAAATTCCACTTAACTTAGCTAAGTATCTTCCCAAAAGAATTAGAAACATCATATTGCAGGGATATATGCACACCAATATTCAAGGCAACCTAATTTATAAGAACTAGATCTTGGAACCAGCATATATGCCATCTACAGATAAATGGATAAGGAAAACTTCCTTACATACTGTGAAATACTACTCTGCCACAAAGATAACTTGAGGCATTCATAGGCAGGTGAAAGCAGCTTGAGAACATAATAAGTAAAACAAATCAGACCACACAAACTTAAACATCACATGGTTTCTGTATAATCATATATAAGAACAAACAGCAAAATAGATCAATCAAGAAATAGGGAAATACAAATAGTACCCAAAATTTATCTATTCTACTGTATCAAAAATATTTTAATATACACACTAATTTATTTCATTTGAATTTCTGGTTTCTCTTAGTTCATGGAAAAGAAAGTTTTATGTTTCTTCTTTGGTAGAATTGTTTTTGTCTGTACCTACTTCAAAGATAATGACAGTGTATTGTTATTACTTGTTTTATTTTTTCATAAAATAAAAAATATCCTATCCTAAAAATATGTGCTGTTATCCAGGTCTTGTTCCACATAGAGCACTCAAGCAGAATAGATTTAGTCTAATTCTTAAGGACCTAGGATTTCTGGAATGATAAATGGCATTGACTTCAGCTGAAAATCACCAGCTGCTTTAGCGTTCGTGGGGGAGTCAGCCCATCCCTTGAAGCTTTGAACACAAGCACTGACTTCTGTTCTCTCGCAAGGACAGTTGTGGTGGTCATCTTCTGGTACTCAGTAAGTGTGAGCTGAATGTGGACACCTTCCTCAGTTCCCCCAGCAAGCAGGCTACTCCACCTTGTACTCTGTGTCCTTTGGTCTCCTGAGCCAACCCCTGCTAGCTTCACACTTGGCTTCTGCAGCTTCTCTGCCCCCTCAGCTTTCACAGAATTGAAGCAAGTTAGAGAATTGCTCTGGGTGAGGCCTTGGCTGTGCCCAGCTTGATCTGTGCCACCAATGGGACTTTGTCCTTGACTGGAGTAGCAGTTATAAAGAACTGTTTTTTCCACTCACAGCTTGCCGTTTTTGATGAGATTTCAGCCAGTCCCAGCATTTGACTTACTTTGCTCACTAAGGCTATCATTTCTAGTTTTGTCTTTAAAGTGAGAGGTCGCGACTTTTCTTCCCACCTGAACACTGAGGTGCCATTGTAGGGTTACTGATTGCCCTTATTTCTGTGATGTTGCATCTCAGGGAGGCCTGGCTTTTAAAAGGGAGGGAGACAGGAAACAGCCTGGCAGTGGAGCAGTCAAAACAGACAAAATTTTATCAGTGAAGTTCACTGCTTTATATGAGCATAGTTCATGGCACCCCCAATTTAATTACAACAGATCCCACCCATCAGAATTCATCAGAACAGGCAGAGTAATAATGAAAAGCTTTGAAACACTGTGAGAATTACCAAAATGTGATACAGAGGCATGAGGTGAGTACTTGGTATTCCCCCCAAAAAGCACTGATAACTTCTTGACCCAGGTTGCCGCTGATCTTCAACTTGTCAAAAACAGTATCTGTGAAGCACAGTAAAAGCAAGTATGCTGGTACAAACTCTAGGGTTAACCCACTGATTTCTTGGGGGAGGAAAACACTGGCTGGCATTGGAAGAGATGGTACTGGATCGTGAATGAGTCTGCGGGGTGTGGCCGTCTTACCAGTATTAAATATTCTAGGCCACAAGCGAGTGTCTTTCTGTGTGGTCAATGGTCACTTTCTTTCAGTCACGTTTTGTAGTAATGTTCAGCACACCAGTCTTACATTTCATTTGCTACGTTTTTGCTAGGCATTTTATTTTTGGCTTGTTTGCTGTTGATATATAAAAAAACAATATATTTCAGTCTGTCAGCCTTGTTTGAAATGTTTTAATGACACTTAAAAAGCCCCTTTAAGAAATGAGATGGACACCAAGAATTATTTTACAGTTATAAATTGTTATCTAGAAAGTAACATAAGATAAATACCAAAGTTGAAGATCTAACAGATTTTTAAAATTTTTCACCTATGCATTTAGACACATTATTTCATCAATAAATCTTTAAACTATTTTTCTTCCATTTTTAGCGTTAAATGTTTACAGAAGACTGTGAAGGATTCTTACCACATTATGTGTAGACCATGTGCTTATGAACTTGAAGTTTGTGCAAAATGTGGAAAGAAAGAAGACATTGTTATTCCGTGAGTATTTCCTTTTATATTTGGAGATCAGACTTAGTAACTGATGTATGCATTTTCTTTTAATGAGACACACAGTAAATCTTATTCTGAGATTGTAGTGTATCACACTAATTTAGACGTTTCTTCAGTCTAATAGGGAGGAAGTCATAGTTTTCTTAAATGTTTCTGTATTACAATAAAAGTAACACTTCATGTATGTAAGAACATCAGATATTTAGCTATGAGATTTACATTTATTACAAAAGAATTAAACATTATATAACAGCTTTCTCTTAATGGACATCTATTATTAATTTCTTTAAGTCTCCTTTAATATTTTAATTAGTAGATTCTTGAATTTAATTAATTTTGAAGAATCTGTTTCTTTGTGCTTATTTCATTTGGTTCCTGCTCAGTATAGCAGTAAAGCCGAGCATGGTGGCATACACCTGTAATGTTAGCATTATGGGAGGCTGAGGCAGGAGGATCAAAAGTTTGAGCCCAACGTAGGCAATTTAGTGAGACAGTCTCAAAACTTAAAAAAAAAAAAAAGCTGGAGATATTTATTGTAATCCAAATATAATCCCTCTTCCAGTCTACCTCACAACCTAGGAGTTTATTATTTGTAACCCCATAGAAACGTTATTGGAATTTCAGCGAGTTAATTCCAATCTACCACCTCCAGTGCAACCCACAGCGAGAATAAAGACACTAGGACATATTAAAGTTATAGGCAGCCAAGGGGTCCTAAGTCCATTCCAAGTGAGGACATATGGACAAGGGCCCTGATCCATGGCCTCTCCCGGAATTTATTATCTGGTAAAGAAGAGACAGGTTCAAGGCTGATAGATAGTGTGGATGGTGCTAATTATATGAGCAAGGTGAGCTGATCTAGCTGGGCAGAGAGTACACACCTCTGCAATATACAGGGAAAAAGATAATGCAGGAAGACCAATCTGTATAACTTGATTGGGATAGCATATAAATGAATTTAGGAGGCCCTTGCTTTAGTTTCTGATATGTAAGCTTATGTACCCTGGGAAGTCATGGTCTTTTATTTTGAGGCTCATAAGCAGTTGATATTCCTGACTGGCTCTGCCATCCTGTATGCAACCCTACAGGGAACACAGAGTAAGAAAACAGGAAATTCAGTTGGCCTTAAAGATTACTTATCAGGGGGCTGGGGATTTAGCTCAGTGGCATAAGCGCCTGCCTTGCAAGCGTGTGGTCATGAGTTCTATCCCTGGTACCAATAAAAAAAAAAAAGATTACTTATCAGTACCTTATCTAAACTTATTTGTATCCCTTAGAGCCAATCAAAGGGAAAAGGAGATAACATAGCCAGCTTGGAAACAAAGCTGGGTTTAAATAATGTGGACATGATAATTCTGCATTCAAGGAGAGCCATCCACTTGGCCTACACATACTGCTCAGCATGAAGGCCCTGGGTTCAATGCCCAGAATTCTCCTACCCGTCCCCTAAATTACCCTCTCCCCCACATACATACCCGAAAAGAAAAAAGAAATAGAGTGGTAAAGGTCTTTGCAACCTATGTGGTTAAATATCAAAAGCCTGGGAAGTAACCAAAATTTTTTCTTTCATCTTTAGGTTTAATAAAGAACCAGAAAAGACAGAAAATAGTGAAAATAATCAAAGAGCCAATCATAGAAGAAGCTGCAAAAGGAATGAAGAAAGTGATGATGACTTAGATTTTGATATTGATTTAGGTGACACAGATGATAACCAAGTGGATTAATGTACATTAAAAGTCATTATAAAAAAGTAAAATCTTGATCACCTTTTTTTTTTTTGGCCTTTGATAGTGTCACAAAAAAAATACTGTGAAATTCACTGAGGAAATCAGAAGAAGCTATGGAAAATAAGCAAAAGTCACATGAATAATATAAATTACACGATATTTACATAACTGTAAAACGTTCATTGAGTTGTCTTCAGACAAAATTTTAAGTTGTATATAGTAGGATACCTGCCAAAAAGCAGATAAAATCAAGGTGTCATACTGCAGTTCCTGGCAATTACTTAGAATGCATTATCTACTATCAAATTTAATAAGATTCAGAGTTGGTGCTTGTATAAGAACCATCTAGGTGAGGCATGATGGCACATGCCTATAATCCCAGCACAGGAGGCAGGGCAGTGTGATTGCTGCGAGTTCAAGGCCAGCCTAAACTACACAGTGAGACCCTGTCTCAAAAAACTAGGCTTCTTTTTTTTTGTACCAGGGATCAGATTCACAACCTTGCATTTGCCAAGCAGATGCTTATGCCTCTGAGCTAAATCCCCTGCCCAGGCTAGTGTAAAACTTAAGAGGCATTACTTTCATCAGCCATAAAAAATTAGTCCATGGATTATACTCCCAGCACTTGGGAGGCTAAGGCAGGAGGACTGCTGTGAGTTCAGGGCCAGCCTGGGCTACATAGTAAGACCCTATCTCAAGGGGGAAAAAAAGTCCATGGAAAGTACCTTTTGATGATTGAGCTCAAGTTTAAAAAACAAAAAGTCCACTTAGCCAAAGTCTCCCCTTATGCTTACCTGTTACACAGGAAAAGTTTATTTTTGAAGTGTACAGCACTTTTAAAGTTTTTCCTTTTGTGAAATGTCCATCCAAAAATGCCTAAAATTGAATAAGTGGTTGAGTGTGGTTGAATAAGTGGTTACAGAGGACACAGGACGCTTGCACGTGGGGGAGAAGGCAGACCAGGAGCCTCGCACAAGGCTCTCCTCTGTGTTCGCCCTGTGCCAGACTTTGGTAATTATTTTATCAGCTAGTACCCGCATTTCTACCCCAAAACAGTAGACATTAGCTTTGGCTGATTTTAACCCTTCCCTTTTGTTTTGGAAAAATCTCAAACCTAACGGAAAGGAGCAAAGTAATAAAACAGTCCTTTTCCTGCTATTCACCTAAATCCCCAGTTTATGTTTTCTTTACAACATATAGATGGGTGTTTCACATGGAGAGCTTAAAGCATGGGATCTGAAATCCATGTGAACAGACTTATACTACTATATTAGTCTCTTTTTTCATTTTGATAAAGTCTGAGATGACCGTTTTGTTACAAAAATTGTATATGATAGTGCGCCTCAGTTTCTCCTAGGAGACAGTACCAGCGTAAGTGTTGTGTCTCCCGGTCCCTGTGGTTCCTCAAGCACTTAGCTGTCCGTGGTAGAGGGAAGTGAGTGCGTGCGTGCTCAGTGTTCCTACTTGGTGTGAAACTCACCAGCGCCCGGCTGGGCCCTCCCCACAGCAACCCCTCACAGCCTCAGTGAGATGAGCCTATTCCAGCAAGAAAAGCAATTGTCTTGCAGAGAGGGTGGGCGCGCTGGTGAAGGGCGCACAGCAGCCACGGGCTTGCTGGCCTCTGACGCTTTATCCCCTGCCCTGGCGTCAGATCTCAGCTATTCCATCCCAAACCCACTAGATCTCCTGCCAGGAGATTGGTCCCTGTGCAGGGCTCAGTTTGATGTCACACCAGAAGAACTGCAGGCAGCATTCCCTGACTGGTGTCAGGTGCAGGGCTCAGAAGCTTGTTCTGTGCCCAACAAAGAAAACCAAAATATTCCCAGAGTAGAAAAGGAACCAAAGAAGGCTGTCCTGGAAGCCAGTGGCATCAACTGAGTACTTCCTTGGGGTTAGGGTTAACCGAGCCCTCTTCGTGATGAGCTCATTGAATATTGCTAGCATCCTGCAGGGCAGTGACTCTCGTCCATATTTACTGAGGAAGAGTTGAGGTTAAGTAATTTCACAGACAGCCAGCAGTGGGCTTTAGGCTCGAGAATTGCTCTGTACCACCCTCTGATCCCACCCTGAACCACCATCCAACCGTCACTGGGGTTGGCATATGAGCGCCTCGTTTGTGACTTCCTGATGGCACAAGTCTGCTGTTACCTTCCCACCACCGCAGGGCTCTGGAAACTGCACCTGACATTCTTTCATGTCATCCTCCATCATTTTGGACAACCTGAGACATTTTTCTAATCACGCCACACCCTCCTCCAGGTCCCAAGCATTACTGCTTTAGGTTTTTAGCCACTGGGGCTGGGGATTTAGCTCAGTGGCATAAGCACCCGCCTTGCAAGCATGTGGTAGTGAGTTCGATCCCTGGTACTGATAAAAATACAAAAAAAAAGACCAAAATGAGGTTTTTAGCCATTGCTGACGTAGTTGAATTCAGTATACTGCTTTAGAGTTCCCCATAGTTCAATTTACTTTTTTATACTCCCTCACAACATATGAAACAATATAATCTTTCCAGTTAGCTTATGTCACTTTAATTTGAGGTCTCCTTACATCATGTAAATAAAGTGTTTGCAAATAGCTCTGGACAACGTAGTAGTTGTATTGGGAGGATAACCTGTGACCACCTCCCAGGACAGTAATAATTATTAGGAGGTCAGGAATGTTGTTTTATATATAACTGGCAGTTATGTTATCTTTTTAAAATAATGTAAGATAAAGAGCAATGTTCAGACAAAGTCTTTCCATTTTCAATATGACTGAACGGACTCAGGTTAAGAAACTTGGCAAAGTAAATGAAAAAACCTGAGATACAAAGTCTGCATAGTTCTAAAGCTTTTATTTCATCTTCTAGGTCTTTTTCTTTCCTTGTAATATTTCTGTACTGAGTACCCTATTCAACAATGGAAATCATTTTTTATTCTAGGTATCCCAAAGTTGTGCAGTAGGGGATGTCCGTGTGGTGCTGGGGATCAAACCCAGGGCCTCCGGTATGCTAGGCAAGTACTCTACCCCACCTCCAGCTCTGTTGTGGCACAGAATTTTCATCACTCCTTTTGTTTAAGTTTTTCAGTAATACTAAAGTTTCCGCAGTGTTGATTGGTCAACAGTATGAAATTAAAGAAGTACATTAATAGTACTTGTTGAATTGTACACCAGTCCCACAGTTCTGTCAACAATTACATGCACATAGGAAACACAATGTCTCACTAAAACTCAAACATAAAGCTTTATGTGGTGGGGGTAGGGTGGGGCAATGAGCTCTGGACTTACCACATACTAGACAAGAACTTTACTCCTATCCATCTCAATTTTTAAGAAATGAAACTATCAGGCTTTCAAAAAAAATATTAATACAAAAAACCACACATAAAGTTGAATCTTTTGCTTCTATAACTTACTGTTTGTTTATGTTTTGTTTTCACCAAATTTCATGTTAAAATTTTCTTGCCAACGTGATGTTAAAGATGGGGGCTTTAAGAGGCATTGAAGGCTTTCTCATGACTTTATTTCTCTGGAAATGAGTTAGCTCTCTTAGGGGTGGGTTGTTACGCAATGTCTGCTCACGTCCACCCGCGACCCCATCCCCTCCTGTTTTCACAGGCATCTGTTGGCCAGCCACTCACTGTTCCACCATGTAGCACGAGCTGCCCTGTTCGGCCATGAGGTTCCAGAAACCAGGCAGGTTCCAGCACCTTGCATTTTTACTTCTAGATTCGAGAGCCAAAATGAACCTATTTTCTTTATAAAGTGCCCAGTCTCTGGTATAATAGCAACAGAAAATGGAGTATAATACTATGTGATTTTCAATTTTTAAAATTTTATAACCTAAAAATCCTACTTTATTACAAACAAAATAATTTGTATTATCAGTCATTATTTGTTTAGTACATAATTGTGCTAACGTGGGCTTTTAAAATGTACTGGCTGTAAAAATATAAATAATGTGCCTAGTGTGGTGGCATGTGCCTTCAGTATACAGCAGCTAAGGCACAAGTGTGGCTTGAGCTCCAGCATTCAAGGTCAGCCTGGCAAACCTGTTGAAAATTCATCTCAAAAAAAAGATGAAACATTCAACAACCAAAACAAATATGCAAATACATTCAGAAGTTAAGTGGTGCTGTCTTTCATCCAAATCTTGTTTGTATGCTTCTGTAAATCTCTAGGAGCATTATTTTTAAGTATATAAATAAAATTTCCAATATTAAACATTTACATTAAATTATTGAAATAGCTAAAATTAATTTTTCATTCTTTTACAGCAAATCAAATGTTTTTTAATTTAACATTAAGTTGTAACTAGCTGTTTGGTGTCTGTTTTTGTTTTTTTGTGTTTTTGGGACAGGATCTCACTATGCAGGCTTCACTATTCAGGCTGTTTTTGAGCTCACTTTATAGCCAAGGCTGGTCTTAAACTTGCAAAAGTCCTTCTGCCTCAACCTGCCAAGTGCTGGGATTATAGGTATGTGCCACCACGCCCAGCTAGTAATTAGCATTTTTAAAAAGAATGTACCTCTGTTGATAAAGCACTTGCCTGACTCGTGGGAAGCCCTGGCTTCTATCCCCACTACCACAAATACACTTCTCATGTGTCATTAATGCATTCTGGAATTTGAGAATGCTGAAGCTGACAAGTATGGAATGAAGTTTCCCAGGAAAAGTAATGTGGGGGCTGGGGATTTAGCTCAGTGGCATAAGCGCTGCCTTGCAAGCAGGCAGTCGTGAGTGATAGAGTTATTTCCAAAAGATGAAAAATATTAACAAAAGATGAGAAATATAAAATAAAAAGTGGCCTTTATTCTGAGAACACGGAGAGAGATGACCGGCACCCCACCGCTGGCGTCCGGCGATCTCTCCGGCGGACACGTGGTGTGGGGGCCTGTAAATAGCCTCGGTTTGGGGTGGAACCTAAGGCGGGCATTAGGGATATACAGGTAGCCCATTGGTCCTAGGTTTGGCGCCATATGTAAATCCCCAGGGGCGGGAAGATGGCGTCACAGGTAACTTCCTAGGGGCAGGGCAAGATGGGGCTTCCTGCTTCCGGTTGTGGCTTTCCTGGCTACAGTGTCCTGTCTGGGCCAAAACCTTTCATATCCCGTCTTATGATTATTATTATGAAAAGGGGCGAAGATTTCTCTCTTTAACTATTTCCTGCTGGCAAAGGGCGCTGTACTGGAGCCTAGGGGAGTCGACGGGATGAAGGTTGATACCCGGGTAGACGCTGCTGCCAGGTGTTTTAGCCAGGACAACTTCACTGGTGAATGCACGTATGTCAGACTGGAAAAACAAAGAGACAAGATGTTATGAGGAGACATGGCACTGTCATATTAAGGACCCAGGTGAGGTAGAAGGAAAGGTGCCTTTGATTTAGACATGTTCCATGGTAAGGCAGAATTCTGAAAATTAAACGTGGGGTTAGGAGGAGTGGAGTTATGAGAGGTGATTACTCCCCCATCTGAAAGCATAAAAGTTAAGACGGTAGGTTGGTGAGGCTTGTCTCTGGAATGCATGATGTTGGAGTCTGTAGGCAATACTGTTAAAGAGTCCTGCTGTAAAAATGATCATTAATAGAATGTAAGAAATTAGGAACCAAAGTGGATAACAAAACATGACTTAGCCTGTTAACTGTGGCTGCGAGGCCTTTGTGGATGGAGACAGGTAGGCAACAGAAGATGAGGTGACCACTCAGAATGATCAGATTTAGGGTTGGAAGGGCACCTCTTAGCCTGAGTGATGTGAAACCAGGATGGCAGTCTAGCAACTTTGATTTAGGCATGGGTCGCTGTAACCTGGTTGTAGTCCTTGGAATGATTTGCTGTAACAGAACTTTAGCAAGTATGAGAAAGACTTTTATGTATCCTGAAAAAGTATAAACCAAGTGAGAAGACTGGGACCTGCACAAAATAGGCCCTGTTTGTAAATGGCATAGGTTGATAATCAATACCCTGTCATAGAGATTGAGGACTTAATATAGCAGCCTGAATACTCAGGAAGACCTCTGTATATATGGCCTCTATGTCCACAAATATAGAGAATGTCTTACCTGAGACTTTAGTGCGACTTGGAATCTGTGACGGACACCCACAAAGGGGCTGCTGGCCCTGAGTCTTCTCAGTCTTCAGCAGTGATTTTCTGTTGGTGACGAATCTGGCAGTGTTGACATTTCCTGTGAGGGCTATTACTTAGGATGACTTACCCACTCTCTGGTGGCTAGGACAGTCCAGTAGCCCTGGAGTAAGGTCTCAAAGAATGACAGGGTGGGGCATTTTCTTGCCCAGCATCTTCTGCTGCATTTGAGCGTAGTCCATGGAGGGGCCAGGCAGCTCCACTTGTGTAGGTTTACCTGTCTCAGAACTCCAAGTGTCACAAGTGTTAAAATTATGAAAAACCATATTAAGATCTCTCTAAGGTTTGAAGGTCAAGTTTTGCCTTTTTGTTTGGGATTTGGACTACAGTAGAATTAAGTAAGTATGCAGGAATTTAATATTGGCATTTTGGATCAGAGAGCAGGCTTTAATGGAAACATTTTGCAGTAAAGGTTTAGCAATCTTATGAATAAATCTATCAAAACTGATCTAATACTGTTAAATTCTGAACACATTTACTTTTAAAGTTGTTATTTGCAGTAGTATGAACCAAGACAAATAAAATATAACTTTGAAGAAAACCCTTGTCTTGAAATAGAGCTAGTGGTTCCCAGCAAAAAGGAATTTATAACCTTAGTTGTTAAACAGGAGATTGGTGAAGGCTTTGATTGATAAACAAGGCTGGTAAAATTATCAGGTGGCCAATAACCTTTGTTAAATGGTTTGAGAATTGTAATAAAAAGCATCTTTTGAGCAGAGCCAAATTGTAAAAAAAAGCATGCCTGAGCAGAGCCGCTGAGCTGCTGTTTCGCGGCGCTCTGGCAGAGCACGCCCAGTGGGTGGGGCAAGCGCTGGGATGTAGCGCGCAGGGGCGGGCTCAGACTGCCCCCGGAAACATGTAAGGTGGCAGCGGCGACGACGGCGCATGGGGGAGGGAGGGGCTGGGACGGCGCATGGGGGAAGGGCTGGGAGGCGGCCTGACACAGCGCGCAAAGCTGGAACTGCTTGCAGGGCTCGAGGATTAGAAAGCCAATTTAGGAACACAGCTCGGTTTTGATTAGCCTCCTGGGCCTGTTTTAAAAGTTTGTTATAGTTAGTATGCTTGTCCTGCTCTGGCACAGCTATAGGCCTAGAGTCATTACCAGCAGTGTTTACCTCATGTCTGTGATCAGCTTTTTCTTGAACTGCTTGCCACAGCTGATTCCATTCTTATGAGATGAGAGAGGTATCTAGAATCACATAAACATCCTTAAAATGTAAATCATAACAATTAGTAATGAATTCAAATTGCCTGATATAATTCTGTGGGTCAACAGAAAAGCTACCTAATTTATGGACAGTCTGGGATAGATCAGAAAGGGAAAAAGGCACATGGATGTTAACAAGTTCCTTGGGGCCAGCTTGCTCCCGAAGTGGAAGCAGAGCCTGAGGAGAAGATTTCAGAGCAGAGGGCCATTGAGCAGCTATCCTTCCAGTAGGTGCATGTGAGCAATCATCTGTAGAGCAGCTACAGAGCTGCTGCCGGTCACCCTGGGAAACACGAGCAGATGGTGTCTCACTGTGTGCCTTGCAGTGAGAGGACTGCTGTCGGCAGCACAATGAAGCATCATGTGCACTGCAACAGGGCGGCTGTTGTAGTTCACAAGAGGAGCCACAAGGAGACGCCTGTTGACAGTGAGGGTCCTGGAAACATGGCGGCACCCTATCACGTGACCCAAAACATGGCGGCGCCTGGGAACATGGCGGCGCCCTGTCACGTGGCCCAAAACATGGCGGCGCCCTGTCGCCATGTGGCCCTCCTGAACATGGCGGCGCCACACCACATGGCAGAGGGTTGCAACATGGCGACTGTTCCCCGCACAAGCTGGAACAATCACGCAGCCTGCTGGAAGGACATAGCGACCGAGACCTAGTATGGTGGGCAGGCGGTAAGAATGCTGTAGGGGATACAGAATTCTCAGGAGAGGTCGGAGACTGAGAGGAAGCACTAACAGAGGGATCAGAGCCGCTGGGAGAGATATGGGTCCCTGGAGATGGAGGGGGAGAGGATTGAACATCGGGAGATAACTGCGACACAGAGGGATTAGAGCTGCTGGGAGAGTTATGGGTCCTGGAAGGCAGAGAGGGAGAGGTTCACACCGCGGGAGGTATCTGCGACAGAGAGGAATTAGAGCTGCTGGGAGAATCAGGCATAGGGGGAGGGGAGAGCGGTCCAGCAGGAGGTAACGGCAGGGAATGAGTTTGGTGGTAGGCAGGTGGTGGCCGGGAAAACAACAGAGGGCAGGATGGAAAAGTTTGCGGCGCAGTAGACTTAGCTAAAAGTATCTCAGCGGGAGCACAAGACTTAATGAGAGATGGGCGTGTTCTCAGAATAAGAAGGGCTTGGACATAAGGGAGTTCTAATAACTTGTTGCCAGCTTGACAAAAATCATACAAGTTCCTGAGAATGCAGGGGTCAAATGTTCCTTTTTTGGGCCAAGGCTTGCCGATAAGCGGATAGGTTGGCCAGACCTCCTGGCAGTAAAAAGTTAGTTGTTTAGTTTTTATGGTACCTTTAATTTTTAGAGTACTTAAATTGGAAATTAGGCATTGTAAAGGCGTCTTTTGGGAGTTAGAAAATACGTTCCCCATGACTGATTCAGGCAAGAAAAAAACCGGAGGTCCAGAAAAAGTCGTCACTTATTTGTGGTACCACGCGGCGGCTACGGTTCCAAAAACTCGTAAATTCCAGTCGTCACTGAGAGATTTACGAATGGAGTCTACATGGGGTCAGTAACAGTTTTGCCCGTGAAAGCGCAAGGCTTTAAGGGAAGTGAGGCATTCTTTCAGTGTGGGCGGTCCCAAAGATCCCTGCTTTGGGCTATCCAAACCCAAAGAACGTGAGAGATTTTGTGGACGCAGGTTTGCCCAGAAAGAACCCTGCCCTGGGCAGTCCTAAGGACATGAAAATACACAGACCCACGCAGACGGGGAGAACATTCCACTGGGGCTGCCCAGTGCGAAAAGTTCCCCAGGGAGTGCTCACCTGAAATCAGTCTGGCCGATGTGGAGTGCAGGCGGCTGGCGACAGGAACGTCTCGGGAGAGGAAAAAGTTCGGGTTTAATCCAGGATGTTATCTGGTTATCGGCGAGGAAACTCTGGGTATGTGGCCCAAGAGTCAGTTGCCTGCCGATCGAGTCATGGCACCAAATGATAGAGTTATTTCCAAAAGATGAAAAATATTAACAAAAGATGAGAAATATAAAATAAAAAGCGGCCTTTATTCTGAGAACACGGAGAGAGATGACCGGCACCCCCACTGCTGGCGTCCAGCGACCTCTCCGGCGGACACGTGGTGTGGGGGCCTGTAAATAGCCTCGGTTTGGGGTGAAACCTAAGGCGGGCATTAGGGATATACAGGTAGCCCATTGGTCCTAGGTTTGGCGCCATATGTAAATCCCCAGGGGCGGGAAGATGGCGTCACAGGTAACTTCCTAGGGGCAGGGCAAGATGGGGCTTCCTGCTTCCGGTTGTGGCTTTCCTGGCTACAGTGTCGTGTCTGGGCCAAAACCTTTCAGTGAGTTCGATCCCCAGTACCAATAAAAAAGAAAAGACAAAAAAAATAATGTAATTAGAAATAAAGTGTGAAGCTCAGTGTGGTAGCGTGTGCCTCTAATCCCAGCACTTGAGAGGCAGAGGCAGGAGGAGGATCACTGAAAATTCAGGCCAGCCTAGGCTACAAAGTGAGTTCAAGCCCAGTCTCATCTATAGAGCAACACCTTGTCTGCAAAAAACAAAACAAAAACCCCTGGAAATAAAGTATGAAGTTTTCCTAGAATGTACACATTACTGGGCTAATATTCACCTTTTGCTGGACTAATACATTCCTGATAGCCTTAGTAGCATCTTTTGGCGGGAGGAATTAATATGCAAGAGTTCTACCCTGTTCACAATTTGTCCTGAGACAAGTGCTGAAACGTTTTGCTGGTCAAAATCCAAAGGGTAGTGGGTTTGACGAGGAGTTCTGAAGCTGATGAGTACCAAGGTATGGCAGCAGTAGGTCAGCAGGCCGTCTCATTGTTCATACTGTAATTACAGGTCTCCTTGTACTTCTGAGGTGGCATATTATTGGTCCTTAAGGTTTGTTCGTATTTAATCTCTCTTTGATGTCATAAATGATGCTGATTTTATGATCGCCTAGGTGACATAGTTGTTGCTCTGAACTGGTTTTCTTGGGATGTCAGTATCTGAATTGCCTTGGCGTCACTAACAGTAGAGAAGCCCCTTACTGCAGAACTGAGTATTGGGCCAAATCCCCTGCCATCCTGCATCCCAAGTGAGTGGAAGTGATTGGATCCTCGGTGACAGGCAAAGGTCAGTGCTTAGTCATTCCCAGAGAACACAACTGAAAATCAGCCTTTAACTAAAGAGCCCTCCATACTAGAGACAAGGCTTTCCACTCTAGTTCACAAGGCTGACAGAGAAAGATGAGCAAAAGAATGAGAACACAAGCCAATAAAATGCCCCAAAGCTCCCAACTTCCCCAACTGATCCATGAGGCATCAAAAGAGAGCAAACCAAAAGCCACACAGCTGAATCATGTGAAATGATGTCAGAGGAGATAACAAGACAGATCAATAAGGCATTTGGAAAGCTCACACAAGAAATTAGCAAACAGATAATGGGCCAAATGAAACAATCAGCAAGTCTATGGGAGACATTTTTTAAAAGTGCTAGCAAAGGTAAATAAAATGATGCAAAACATAAATGACCAGCATAGAAAAGAGTAAGAGTTCATAAAAACACTCTAAATAGAAATTTAGGAGATTAAAAATTCTATCTAAAGTATGGGCAACAGAGTAGCCAATGTGAGGACAGAGGGTCAGCACTAGAAATTAAGGCTGTGGTCAGTGACCAGTTCATGAAAGATACAGGTATTCCTCATGAACAACTTCTCATATGGCTGTACAGTTATGACTGAGGCTCACTGTTTCGACTTAACAACTGGCCTTTTTTGGTACAGTTCTGTACATCTTGTTTACACAGCCTCAGTGCCTTTTTTTATGGTACCAGGGATCAAACTCAAGACCTACAGCTTTCCAGGCAGGCGCTTATGCTGCTGAGCTAAATCCCTAGCCCCCATGATTCACACTGTTATAATAAAAATGATAAACCATCTTATTACTCATCGCATAAGCTGTACTGAATTATACTAACATGTAAAATATAAAACATCGCTTTCTTCACATTTAGGTAACACACCAGGAACTAATGGGAGTAATAACATCTGGATTCCATGGTAGCCAGCACAGGTGAGGTCTAAGGAGGGATTAGGAAGGCCCAGGAAGATGGAAATCTGCTGGGCTAGAGGAGGACGGAGGGCCTGTGGTTGAGCCAACACTTCCCTTCACCACTCCCCCACTCCTCACCTCTCTCCACACTCAGGAATCCTTTGTGATGCCTCTGGACTCCTCACCCTCCCCCACTCATCACCCCTCACCCACTGGTCACCCCTCCCTAGACTCAGGAGCCCTTTGTGATGCGTCTGGAATCCCCAATTCCCAAGAGAACTCTCAGACTTCAGTTGCCTGAGGGTAACACTACAGTTCAGATGATAAGGAGGTTTTCTCCTGAAAATCCTGGACAAACCCCAGTTCCACTCCTCGGGCAACAGATGTCATCCCTGCCTCTGCTGTGGACTGGTGGTGCTCACCTCTGGACCAGGCTAGCTTTCCGGCTAACTGGCAAAAAGAACACTAGAAAGGTAAGGAACCATGGGTCCAAACCAACAGCTTGTCTCTTTCCACCACTGTGCTCTACAGCTTTTACTGATCAAGACAGAGACTTAGCCAAGGAAGGAGACAGAGGGCGTCTGGATTTCCTCTTGGGGAACCGTCTGCCCACCTAGTGCCATGTCCCAGCCTGGAAGTAGACCTCACAGGCTGAGCTGTTCATCTTCTTCCCCTGCTAGGTCTCATCCCCTGCAACCTGGAGAAGATCCTTCGGTTCCAACATAGATCCAAGGAAAAACAGTGCCTTAGTTGAGGAAGATTAATTTTAAACAGTATATTTCATAAGCCTGAATGTCTTCACCTCTTGAATTCCACAAAGACCACTTGACAATGGCTGGGAAATCCAGGGTCAAGGAACTCTGGGAGTGACTCACAGGCTGCTGATGTTTACCCATACAGATGGCTCCTACACTACTTTCAGGGAAGAGATCAGCACTGAAAATGGCCAACGGCCTGGCCTAGGTCACAGGAACAAGTTCCTGGACCAGTCCCTGATTGTCCCATAGACCAGCAGGGGGAAGAGGCAATCACAGGGATTTGTGCACATCGGGGGAGGGACGGGGGTAAAATGAAGGAGCTTCATGGATGGGATACTGGCCAGGAATGGTCTCTACTGTGCCCAGTCTGCTGCCAGCCCACATTTCCCCCTCCCACAGCTCATGTACAGGGGAAAACAGGATATCCCCCAGTCTTGGTCTCTATATCCAACAATCAGAGAAAAGAACTTCAGGGAGGAAAGGCAGATTTCTGATTATGGTTTCATAAGTTTGAATCCATGAGCAACTGGCCTCAAGGCACATACATCACAATAGGAGGTCTTGGTGGAGAGCAGTGGCTCAACTCATGAAACACAGAACTGGAGTGGGTGAAAGAGCCTGAGAAATATATAGCCTTCAAAATCCTGCCCCTAGCACCCTATTTCCAAGTAGGGCCACCACCTAAGAGCTCCTTCAAGTGCAAACTCTTCCACTGATGAGATTAGTATCCTTCTATTCATGTTGACAGTCAAGAGAAATGACCCCAAGGAATCCTCATTCCAGAGTGTCTGCTCTGTGCCCAACAGGGAGTGGGTTATAAATCCCCTTCTAGAGGGCCTCAATTTGTCCTCTGGGGCAGAATCCTACAACAGCAAGTGCCACTGAGGTAGATGATACTGTGATGTGCCCTGTCCAAGCATCTTCCAGGCCCCTAGAGATGGGGCTATACAGCCCCTCACTGTGTGGATAGGGGACCCACACACCTCTTTTGGTCAAGATTGTTTTTTGTTTGCAAACCATGTTAGCCTCCAGGGCAGACCAAACAGTAAAAGCAGAGTGAGGTCCTTGACTCTGACACCACTGAGTACCCTTGATACAGGGGAATGAAATTTCCAACCTACTAGAGGTTCAGTAAGAGTTCGTGTTTTGTAAAATTGAAGAATGAATTTTAGGACCAAGGAGGTTAAGAGCAGAGTATATTTATTGAAAGAAAGCTTCTGTCTGAGCGAGAGACAAAAAGGGTCCCAAGTGGTTGCCAAGGACACTGTCTTTCCCAGGGGATTTTATAGAGCAAAACCATGAAATATGATCAGTTCAAGTTGGGGAAGACATAGGAACTCACAAGGCTGATGGGCATGAGGTAGGACAGAACTATGGTCAACCCATAAGATTAAATCAGGTAAAATAGATTCAATCAGGGACAAATGGGGAAGCCAGTCACCTAGCAAGTGGGCTTGCTTAAAGAGCAGTGGGGTGGGCGAGTGACTCCTGGCTTGCTCCAGGTAATCCATACCTATTTAGAATATTAATGCCTAATGTTTATACTTAGAGTGTTGTTGCATTTGTTTTGTCTTTTATATTGAGATCTGGCCCTTAGCAAAGGTGTCTGTCTCCTCCAAGGTTGCAAGGTATCTGGTCTTTGGCACTGGTTCCTTGGAGGGCCTAGCCCTGTCTGACTGCCTATAATATTTCTAACTAACTCAGCTGCCTGAAACACTTTCAGAGACCTGAAAAGCACATTCTGGGTGGGAAATGAAAGGATTTTGCCCTAAATGGGACTCTGCAGCAATGGGAGGTTGGGAGGCAGTAGATCACCTTCCCTGCCCCTAAGCAATTTACCTGTGGCCTGAAATGAATTCCAATGGGCTACCTGTGCATCAGTAATGCCCCTTAGGCACCACCCCAAACCTAAGCTATATGTATGCCCCACACCATATGTCCAGCCTCAGTGGTCAGGGCTTCTCTCTCTGCATTCTTAAAGGCCACTTTTATTTCATATTTCTTTTTAGCCGCACTGAAAATTCTATCAGGAAAAAGTAGACTTGGGGCCTAGGACTGGGTAGAGGAATGGTTCCACACAGGGTGATGCTGATGGACCAGTTAGAAGCAGACAGGAGCATGTTCCTGTCCTTCCTGCTGCCACTGGCCCAGTCCTACATGAGTGCACTAATATATCCAGTGACACAGAGAATGTTCAAAATCCTACATGGAGACTCTCACAGAAACCTCCATGGACACCTACATCCTCATACCATGACAGACACTTCCACAGAGCCCCTCATGAACACATACACTGAGAAACACCCCGAGAGTTCTCCCTCAGGATCCCCCAGAGTCCTTTGCAAAGTCCCTGACCAAGATTCATACTGAGAAAGAGACCTAATGCTTCACACACCAGAAGACACCCCAACAGAAACCCAGAGATGTGCAGGCACACCCACACAGACCTCCAGAGATCCAGAGACCCGAACCAGCTCTATCAAACCCAGGACACACTGACACTCCCACAGAGGCCCACATTGAGAGACACCCACAAAGGGACTTACTCTGACCTACTTATTCAGAGACCCATACTGAGGGAACCCCAAAGAGCCCTACTTGGCGACTGACACCCACCCTGCCTGACCTAGACCCCCCCCCCATATGGACACAATTAGGTAATAAACATCTCAGGAGGAGCTCCCTCAGAAATGGAAGGACCAACTTCAAGGACTGCACAGATATTGCAAACACATCCACCTACACCTTCACAGAGCCCTGGATGGAGATTCACACCAGGAGCGACTTCAGTGATGTCTCAAGGTAACCTCAGTCAGAAATCTCAGACAGTGACTGCCTCAAGAAAATCACTCAGCCTCTCAGACCTTCCACAGCTCTCAGAGCCTCCTGAAAGATAAGCACATATACACCTCCCCTACGGGACACACACATGGGCACCAGACAGATGCCTTGCCAAAGGACCCTCACACACAACGTGTTCGGAGACCTCACAGCCACTGAGGAAAAGATATCCCGCAGTGACCTCCCCATAGACGTACCCAGTGAGTAGGAGACGGCACAGCGACCTCTCAGAGACCTTGTATTGAAGTTCCCAGAGCTCCTGCAGACTTGTTGACCCACTAGACTCCCACAAGACTAACGCAGACACAGGATGCAGAGGCCTGCCTCTGCCCCACAGAGGCCCTGCACAGAGTTCTCCCCTAGAGGTCTCAAAAACCATCACCTAGATGCACCCAACCCTGGAGGCCTCCCAGACATCTCCTCCTAAAGAGCCCTCTGGCACAGAGATACTTCAGACACATCTTTCTCTCACAGCTGGAAGCGCCCTCACCTACTTGGTCTGCCAGTACACACATTGCTAGTCTCCGCCATTATAAAGGCCTTTCCCTTAGCTCGAATCACACAATTTGTTGCTCATTCACTCAGGCTCTACTCTTTCTTTATCTTCTCCCACCTGAATCTTTTCATTCCTGTCCGCTGAGGACTACCTTAGATTCTACATTCCCAGCAAGACCTGTGTGTATGGATTTCCCTTGGAATACAGCCTAGAATCATAATGGTAAATTAAGCACTTAATTTCTTTAAAATAGGCACAAAAGAACTATATAGGGTGTCCACAAACCTGTGCTTCACCACAAATTTAAAATTCATTACAAATTAAGGGTATCAAAAAGCAAGTTAACTCTTTGGCTAAAGAAGTTGTAAGTAAACCAGCATTGCCCTCTGGGCCAGGAAGCCTTAGACAAAAAAAAATTCCTGAACATGAAAGGAGAATCTGCCTTCAAGATAAGAATAAACTTAATGGAAGGAAGACAGAGGCCTTTTGAGAGATAAAGCTGAGACTCAGAGCCAAGAGGAGGAGATAATAAAACAAGGAGCTGGTAGAGAATATTAAAACCTCTGACGTGTGAGGTGCTGTCTCCAAATATGGGGGTTAGCAGTGGCCTTGCATAGTTCTCTGACATCAAGCTTTATTCTTGTAAGTTTAGAACTGTAACCTAGATGAGTCACAACCTAGAAAACTGACCGACATGACTACACGGTGAGGTATTAAGATGTCCTCAGGACAAAAAATACAGAAAAAATTCACTGCCTGCCTGTCTGACCTCAGATGCTTGGAGACTTAAATGTAATACAAGATCACAAAGCACTTAAAAGTATGTCAGAAGTATATACTGCTTTCCAGTGTATCAAATATGAATTACAATCTGATGAAAAAAATACAAACTTCTGTTTATATGCTAATAAAAGAATAGGCACGGTACGCTTAAATCACAATGCAGGAGGTATTTTGGCCAATTTTTCTTATCAAAGAATAAAAATGAAAGCCAAATAGATTCAAAGGCTCAACTCTGTAAATAATATTCCTTAGAGTTATGTGGGGGGCTGGGGATATAGCTCAGTGGCGCAGTGCCTGCCTGGCAAGCATTAAGTCCTGAGTTGGATTCTCAGTACCCCCTCAAAGAAAATAAATAAAGTTATCTGGGAGTCAGTCTACTGTCCAAGATCAGTGGCATACGTTGTTTTTATCGTGATTCAACCAACCATGATGTGGTGCTTACCGCATACATAAAGTGAAGGACACGGCTGTCCTTCACATGGGGTTGCCACAGGTTCCACAGAAAACTATTCTCACAGGACTCCCCACCAAAATGCTCTCCTCCTAAAAGCTGGAATGTGCTATTGTATAGACTGAATCTAGTTTCTTTTGAAAG